AAACTTCTCAAAACCGACTGCCTGTCGGACCTCTGAAAATGGCATGTTTGCGGGGTGGCAGGCTTGTTGAGAATTGAAATCACCAAGAGTAACTTCCCTTCAATATGTGTGTTTGAGTATATTTAAAAATCTATTTTACCGGTATCAAAATATACGTTTTCCTGTGTCAATTTTAGTTTTGTATATAAGATCAAGTTTTGCTGATCACTTTTGCTTATTTAAGTTTCTATCTATCTATAATAGTTTTTCAGATACTAGGCAAATACACAAAAAAATTGATAAAAATGATCGTTTAAGGGCAATACATCCAATAAGGAGTCATCTGATGATTATAGCTTTTCAGATATTAGGCAAACATGAAAAAAATCGGTAAAATTCATCATTTAAGGGCAATAACTTATATGAGAAGTCGTCTGGCAGTTTTGAAGTCAATAAACAATATGTAGATCTCATCATTCTGAACATTTCTGCCTCTGTAAGATTTTCTCTATTCATAGCAGTTTTCAAGATAATAGACAAAACTTGCATTTTTCCCCTTTGTTCTATTTTTAGCCATGTCTGCCATGTTGGTTGGCACGTTTGGTCATTGAACACATTTTTTAAACTAGATACCCTAATGATGACTGTGGCAAAGTTTGGTTTAATTTGGCCCAGTAGTTTCAGAGAAGATTTTTGCAAAAGTTAACGACGGATATAATTCATTAACTTTTCATACCCAGGAACATTCAGACAACTTGATTCAAATCTGCTCAGTTAATTCTGAGGAAAAGATTTAAAAAAATTTAAAAGGAAAATGGCAATGGCAATGACTAAAATGGAACAAGATTGTACACACTGTCCTGTTATTAGCATACCCCACTCTTAATTCACAGTATTTGAAAACAGGAAGGGTCAGGTCTGATAGATACAAACAGTGCTGACATACACTATAACTTGACACTGACAAGCTGCTGACCATATCTGAAGTCAGTTTTCAGTAACTATATACTACCTGAGAAAAGTGTGACAGAAATAGTCAAGGAACAATGAACTGACAAGGTGAATGCAATATAGCCCCAACTGTCATGACTGTTAGAGTGGGGGTATAAAAGTATAGAACACATACTTAATTATATTATCCCTTGCAGAATATTAACTGTACTGACAAGCTTGTACCCAGGCCACTACAATAACTTTTTTTCAACTTGTCCAGTAGGACAAGTACATACCAAAACTTACTTGTCCGAATGAAATTGTAACTTGTCCAAAACAATTCTTAATAATAACCTTTTTTGCGCATTTTAAGTTGATTCAAGGAACGAAATGAATTATAAACAATAGAACAGAATTTGATTTATATCTTTTGAAATACTTTTCAAAAATATGAGCCGAGAACAACTGAATCTAGTCATGTCACAGGACTTAGGTCCTAGCTTTCTTCAATGCTAAAGTCTCATCAGACTCTGCACATGAGGCACCGTCTGATAGGCCTGTCAATGTACACTCATTGGATTTGTATCTTGGTTTTTTAGTTGAAAAAAGTTTTTTCAAATGCAATCAATAAAAAAAAGAAGATGAGGTATGATTGCCAATGAGACAACTCTCTGCAAGAGACCAAATGACACAGAAATTAACAACTATAGATCACCGAATTGCAAGTATTGTTTTTTTCTACATATGATCAAATATGATTTTGTGAATTTTATGGTAAATAATTTCTTCATTTTTATTTAAAAAATATTTTTTGTTAAAAAAATTACAGGTATGGCATTTATTATAAAGCAACAGAATAAGGTCGGAAAAGGAGGTACTGATTTGTCTTGGTCCCATAAGGTCTCCTGCGTTGCCAAACTGTCTATTAATCATGTCTATTAAATATTTCTCCTACGGTGCCAAACTGTCTATCAAATTTGGAGCCGAATCGTTTCTGATGACGAACTGTCTTGAAAAGTTACCTTATCTACAAAGCGCATCACTGATTCGATGGTTTCCGAGAAAAGTATGCCTTTTACCTCTAAAAAAGTACCTGACAAAGAACCAGTTTTAAATATCCATTGCAAGTAAACATGTCAAATTAATACTTGTTTTTATCTTCTTTTCTTGTTTTTTGTTTATAATTACTTTGTTCATCAAAGTTAGATTAAATTTATTTTCTGCAGAATAATTTTACTTGTCCCGTCGGACAAGCTTGATATAGCTTTTACTTGTCCGACCTTTTTTTCCTCTGGTACCGGACAATCGGACAAGCGTAATTGTCGAGGCCTGTTGTACCATTATCTAAAAGGTACAACATTAATCAATGTAATGGCAATAATCCTATATGACATCATAGTAAGATGTAGTGAGTAATGCTGGGCAATGTTAGTTGCACTTTAAAAGAGTCAAACACGAAGTCTGAAGCATGACTTTTTTCTACGATAAGAAACAAAACTTATACAATTGTTACACTTACTTCTCAACAACATGCTCAATACCTACAGGGTAATTATTTCTATACAGTCACAGAAATACACCAGGAAAATATATATACTGTTTTGCTTAGGCTAGATAATTTACAAGTAATGTAAAAATAGCCATAGTTACTATGTACACAACTCAAAAGTAGGTAAACATCTTGGCTTTAATATAATAAATGCAAAATCAAATGCATACAGAGATAAAAGTGAAGTTTGAAACAATGATTTTTTAAAGATTTCATCAAATACTGTAAATTCAGAAATTATTGCATGCATTTATTATTGGGATTTTGAAGAAAGGACAAAAATGTGAGATTAATTATTGTGATTTCAGGAAAATAGGCATACAGTTATATGTATCTGATATCAGAATGCGAGTTCTTATTATTGCGATACCAACCCAGTCGCATTATTCACAATAATTTCTGAATTTACAGTATTCATTATCAAAGTTTTTGGTTTCAATAGTTTATTAATCTATGTTATCCACTTTAAATGGAGGTTGAGGTCACCTCCAAATGATCCAATGATTTTTTAAATGTATCATGCAATTATTATTTCCTACAATTTTGAAAGCAACTGGTTTTTTAATTGATCTATTTCATTGAATTTCTTGTCCAATTTTTGTATTCACAGTGACAAGGAGCCATGTTCAAATGATGTTTGTTATGTGTTGAATTTGACATTCATTCTTTTTATTCATGGTCATGATTGATGGATGTAAGAATCACCTGTAAATAATCTGAAATGGTCCCATTGGTAATAAATTAATAATTTAGCCAAAATTTTAACACCAATTGGCCCTTAAGAGACTTTTTGCTGAATTTTTACTTTCAAAATTTGATAGTCATTGGCTCTGCACAGGATTTCTCAGCAATTTTTACAAAACTTTTCACTTAATTGTCATTTTTGGTCAGGTTGGCCTGGTGATGGCGGAACGGCAGGTGAGTGGGGAAAAGTGGGTACCTAATTTGTGTAATGAACTCCTCATACAGTCTTCTACCTTGACAGGAATTTTGCACATATGTTGAAGTTGCACACCTGCTATTATGAAAATTTTTAAGAAATATTTTCTCATTTTTCCAGACTTGGGAACATAGTCTTTTTTTCAGCAAAATTTAGCAAAGAGGCTAAATATCTTTTGTGTAATACACTCCTGCTACAGTTTTCAACCCAGATCCCTGAAACTTCACAAGAAGATTACTCATATGTTAAAGTTGTGACTTGTAGTCCAGTGGCTAAGTCCAATATTTTGGTACAATTGATCACTTTATGGTAAAAGCATAAAATTGTGCACAGCATTAGTTATGAGTGTTTGTGGAATTTTTTTCTCATCCTTCCAGACTTAGAAACTTTGTTTTTTCTGAAAAATTTATGAAAGAGGTTACACTTATTGCAACCTGGTTTTTATGATGGCCATTCTTGATAACAATTAGGACATTAAACATGATTCTTAAAGGTGGTTATTAATGTAACTTTCCAAAAGGTATGTTAGTAACTGATCCATTTTTATCTCATATTTCTTTTTAGTCAATTTTTCTATTTTCAAAATGTTCAATAGCTGATATTGTTTTTAACTATAATTTAACCAAGGGGATCATTAATGTATTAATTGAACAAACTTTGTCAAATACTTACTTTTCTTTTACCATGCATGTTTACAGGCAATTCAATCAACTTTTTTAAAGATCCTAACATTTCTTTTTTTATTTTCTTCAGTCATGATGGTTGATTTGTTAGAAATCAGATACAATCTCTGAACTAAGATAACTGAAGAAGGAACATTTGAAATCCAAGGACGAATTAAAAACTTAGAACTTTTAATGAAGGGCAACATATTTAAATTTAAAGCAATAGCTCACATCAGCCTACTACCATTAATTTCTAGATGCTCATTTGAAATGGTTTGCTCACCTTGCAAGTTTATCCACTAATTCCTCAAAAGAAGATATGTTCTACAATTCAATTATATGTCAGATGATTTTGTATTCATCAATCTTATAAACCTTAAAAACATCTTTCATTTTAGTTTGAGAAGATTATGAATGCCTTCACCTAATTTGAACGTACATGAGCAACACGATGGTTGCCATATGTGGAGCAGGATCTGATTACCCTTCTGTGATCACTCCGTGTTTTGTTTTGTCTTTTTATTTTGGAAGGATGGGGTCGTGGAAGGTATGTGTTGCTTTAGTTTTCTAAGTTGTGTTATGAATGTCTATTGGTGATTTTTTTGGTTTTTAGCCATGGCACTGTCACTTTGTCATCAGCCTATGACTTTGAATACCTCTTGTGTATCTCCTACCTCTCTTCTTCAATACATCATTCCTGTTAAGTTAGGTTAAAATTGACATGGGGATTTCAGAAAAAAATTATCAAATTGTCTGATAACAGACTATTGCTCATGTCAAAACTCATAATACTGACAACATTGAGACAATACTACAAACGATTAATCCCAGAGTGTACATGATGCCAATAAAGGCAATGCCTTTAACACGTTTATAATCTAATCCTTTGTCTAAAAGCAATAAACCAAGATACAATGTGTCAGAAAGGAGTTACCTGCTTCTGCTGTGAAGGATGTACATTTGGTCTTCTGGGCATCAACACAACAACTATAGTTCATTTCCTCCTTTGGACAAACTTCAATGCTACTGACTGTCTTTCCTTCAGCATCTTGACCCTAAAATATATGTGGCATATAAATTTTAACATTCAACATTGTTATAGGACTGCCTCATCATATTTGGGGTAATTCCAAGAAAAATTTGTAAGGGGTTTCCGCAGAACCCATTGTCTTGCCTGCAATTGCTGCTATCAGTGTAAAAGAGTAATGTCGACTTAAAAAGTGAGTCCATTTAACAGTAAAATACAGAATTCAAAAAAATTTCAAACTTTTTCTTTCGATGCTATTTCATCATGTTCATGGTCTTGAAGAATAGCTTCTGTTCAAATTTCATAACAATCCATGAAGGTTTAAATATTTAATATCTCAAAAAAGTTTTATCTCAGACTGTCTGTAAATGTTTTAAACTGTAAAAAACTAAGTCAATCTATCAAAAAAATACTAAAAATGAAAAAAAAAAAAAATTTTAAATTTGCCTCTGACATTATCTCTTAATCATAAAAATGCTTGTGCCAAAGTTTCATAAAATTCTATGAAGATTTGATAAAGTAATTGATGTGTAACAATCTTGAACTCCAGACTATATCTATTTGTTAACTGTAAAAAAAACTAAGTCCATTTATCAGTTAAATACAGAAAAATGAAAATAAATATTATCAAAGTTTTGCTCTGAATACTGTATCTTGGTCATAACTATTAGCTTCTGTCCAAATCTCCTAAAATTCCATGAAGGTTTGACAAAGTTATTGATGACTGAAAATTTTAACCTCAGACTGTATCTACTTGTAAACTGTAAAACAACAGTGCACACGCTGAAATGTCTCACCTGTTTTACTGACCATTGATTTTATGTTGAAAGTCATAAAAATAAAGGTTTTACTACAAGTATCACATAAACTTAACATTTAAAAGATCCATGACAATGAGGTCAAGGTCAGATAAAAACTGTGACACAGACATGTACACCTTACAATTATTCCATACACCAAATAAAGTTGACCCATTGCTTATGGTAATTGAAAAATTGACCAAAACACAAACACTTAATGTTAACCAATGAACCATTAAAATGAGGTCAAGGTCAGATGACACAAGCTAGACAGACATGTACACCTAACCATGGAAATTAGTTCAAGTACTTCTTACAATCATTCCATACACCAATTATAGTTGACCTATAGCTATTGGTATTTGAAAAACAGACCAAAACACATAAAACTTAACATTGACTAATAAACCATGAAAATGAGGTCAAGGTCAGATGACTTCGGCTATACAGACATGTACACCTACAATCATTCCATAAACCAAATATAGTTGACCTATTGCTTAAAGTACTTGAAAAACAGACCAAAACACAAAAACTTAACATTGACCAATGAACCATTAAAATGAGGTCAAGGTCAGATGACACAAGCTAGACAGACATGTACACCTTACAATCATTCCATACACCAATTATAGTTGACCTGCTGCTTGTAGTATCTGAGAAATGGACCTAATCACTGATCCATGAATTGAGATCGAGGTCTGGTTAACCCTGTCTGACGGACATGTAGACGTTGTAAGGAACCCATATACCAAATATAGTTATCCTATTACTCATAATAAGTGAGAAATTCATATGACAAAAAAAACTGTAATTTTTTTTCAAGCAGTCAGGCCAGACTTAAAAATATTTCTGTTTGCCCAAACCCTACCCACCAGTCTCAGGTGTGGGTAGGTAGGTAGGGAAATTTTTTTTTTTTTTATACTTTTAGAGAAAAATAGGGGGGAAATTATTTTACCTTGTAAACAACTTTTAAAATGAAAGACTATAATAGAGGTTTGTATAAATTATCAGACACATATATGCCAGGATCTATATGTACTATAAAGATCTTTTCTATTAACCGTTTTTTTTCAGCATTCCACCTCAATGTTCACACTTTTTTCTGAATGTTTACATTGTAAATACAGACAAACATTTTAAATGAGTTTATACTCAGTACTACGAGAGAAAAATATTTCCCTGAAATAAGAAAAGAGATCACTGATAAAATCACATCAACAAAATGGAACTGCACCTTCATGAAAAAAACTGCGATAGTACAATTGCTTATAGACTGTTCAAAATATAAGGAGCTGTTTGATAACTATGAAAAATTCCAGGAAAATATTGAAAACAAAACCAGAAATATGTTATTCCAAATGCATATAGAAAGATTGAAAATTATGACAGATAGCAAGACATATATTGCATATCCATTGTACGTAAATGTATTGAAAATTAAGGATAACAAATAGCAAGACATATATTGCATATATATATATATATATACGTAAATGTATTGAAAATTATGGACAACAAATAGCAAGACATATATGCTGGCATGTCAGTAACTGCTAGTAGTCCTTTGTTCATTTATGTATCATTGTCATTTAGCTTAGTTTCTTTTGTTACCTTAGTCCTATTCTGACATCGGACTCGGACTTCTTTTAAACTGAGTTTTACTGTACGTATTGCTATGTGTTTCTTTATTCTACATTGGCTAGAGGTATAGGGGGAGGGTTGAGATCTCACAAAACATGTTTAACCCCGCTGCATTTTTGCGCCTGTCCCAAGTCAGGAGCCTCTGGCCTTTGTTAGTCTAGTATGTTTTTTAATTTTAGTTCATTTATATGTTTTGGAGTTTAGTGTGACGTCTATTTTCACCGAACTAGCACACAATTTTATTTAGGTGCCAGCTGATGACCACCTCCGGGTGCAGGATTTTCTCGCTGCATTGAAGACCCATTGGTGGCCTTCGGCTGTTGTCTGCTCTTTGGTCGGGTTGTTGTCTCTTTGACATATTCCTCATTTCCGTTCTCAATTTTATATATTGCATAAACGTATATATATATATACATATATCTCAAAATGGAGGAAATGACAAACAAATGAAAATAGTGATTATCATAAGTGACATATATATACCAACACAGAGTCTGTCATATAACAATTGTAATAAATGTAAAGAAGCTATGGACAGATATTAAAAGCTATGAAAATGAAATTAGATAAATAATAAAAAGGTCCCTGTAAATATGCCATGCATATTACTTTTATTGTTTTATATTTATATGTGCTATACATATGTTGGAAAAAACGTTTTTTTTGTTTTTTTTTTATTTTATTTAAAGTTAAGGAAAAACTCCATATACATTTGGAGGTTCTCCTAATTAAAGGAGGCTCATACTAAGAAGAAGAAGTTTATTTGAATACAAAATCAAAATACAAAACACTTGAACAAAACACTGTTGACAGAAATTCTGTCAGAATAATATCATTTTAATCAAATTTTAATGCAGAATCAAATTCCTGAACAACTTGGATTGGTTCCTCAAAATCGGACTCAAACCAGTGTCCCGATCGGTCAGAGGCAGTCACACAAATTTCATCAGTTTTCCGTAGCATGAAATCATCATCACACACTTTATCAAAGACCTCTTTCCATGTTTTTGCGTTTTCAAAACGATAGAATTTGTTGGAAACTACAGGTTTTGATTTTAATCCAACCTTTATTTGTACTAACACGGTAACATGTTGTTTTTCATCCGTATCAGTTGGAGGCTTTAATACATAACACAAATTGTCCTGTGATAAAGCGCGGTCAGATCGGATCAGGTTATTCTATGCAAAAAACTCAAGACGGATACGGATACAACGAAACTCCGCAAAAAAAAAAAAACATCGCGAATTTTGAATAAAATAAAATGCTCCGCAGGGCGCAGCTTGATACGACCGCAGAGGTCGAACCCTGAACAGTTGGGGCAAGTATGGACACAACATTCAAGCTTGATACAGCTCTGAATTTGGATTGTGATTAAATATTTGACACAGCATAGGTTACTGACACAGAATGAATGTGGTCTAAGAACTTAATTTTTTTTTATTAAATTGGACATTCACCTATTATGGTCCAATATCCAAAATCTAAATACATGGTTAGATTCAGCATATCAAAGAACCCCAAGAATTCGATTTTTGATGAAATCAAACAAAGTTTAATTTAGGACCCTTTTGACCTCAATGTGGACAAAGTTGATAACGGGGCCCAAAAATCAAAAATCTAAATACATGGTTAGATTCAGCATATCAAAGAACCCCATATATTCAATTTTTGTTGAACTCAAACAAAGTTTAATTTTGGACCCCGATTTGGACCAACTTGAAAACTGAGCCCATAATCAAAAATCTAAATACATGTTTAGATTCCGCATATCAAAGAACCCTAAGAATTCAATTTTTGTTAAAATCAAACTAAGTTTAATTTTGAACCCTTTGGACCTTAATGTAGACCAATTTGAAAACGGAACCAAAAATTAAGAATCTAACTACACGGTTAGATTCAGCATATCAAAGAACCCCAAGAATTCAATTTTTGATGAAATCAAACAAAGTTTAATTTAGGACCCTTTTGACCTCAATGTGGACAAAGTTGATAACGGGGCCCAAAAATCAAAAATCTAAATACATGGTTAGATTCAGCATATCAAAGAACCCCATATATTCAATTTTTGTTGAATCAAACAAAGTTTAATTTTGGACCCCGATTTGGACCAACTTGAAAACTGGGCCCATAATCAAAAATCTAAATACATGTTTAGATTCAGCATATCAAAGAACCCTAAGAATTCAATTTTTGTTAAAATCAAACTAAGTTTAATTTTGAACCCTTTGGACCTTAATGTAGACCAATTTGAAAACAGAACCAAAAATTAAGAATCAAAATACACGGTTAGATTCGGCATATCAAAGAACCCCAATAATTCAATTTTTGATGAAATCAAACAAAGTTTAATTTTGGACCCTTTGGACCTCAATGTGGACCAATTTAAAATCGGGGCCCAAAATCAAAAAACTTAATACACGGTTAGATTCAGCATATTAAAGAACCCCAAGAATTCAAGAATAAAACCCCATTGAAATTGGTCAAGAAATAAGCAATTAATACTGTGCAATTGAATATTTCTTGCTATTGCGCAATACTGTACAATTGACAATTTCTTGCTATTGCTCAATATTGTGCTATTGGATATTTCTTGCTATTGCGCAATACTGTGCAATTGAAGATTTCTTGCTATTGCGCAATACTGTGCAATGAAAGATTTCTTGCTATTGCGCAATACTGTGCAATGAAAGATTTCTTGCTATTGTGCAATACTGTGCAATTGAAAATTTCTTGCTATTGCACAATACTTATTATATAATAATTTACACATCCTGTTTGGTGTGTATCTCCTACCATATCATTATTATTTGCTTTTAAATATAAATCAGAAATAACCAACTTAAAATGGAAAATTTTAAAAGAAAAAAAAATGAAAAAAAGAAAAAAAAGGAAAAAAAAAAAAATCCCCCCCCCCCCAATTTTTTGAAACCCCTTATGATTCATCACCCCCAAACTCAATCCCAGCCTTCCCTTTGTGGTATGGTACCTTGCAGTACAATTTCAGAGAGATCCATACACTTGAACACAAGTTTTTGTCCTGAAACTAGAAAAATGCTTGTTTTTTTCCCCTTTTTGGCCCCTTATTCCTAAAATTTTGAGGGAATTACACCCAAAATCAATCCCAGCCTTCCCTTTGTGGTATGGTACCTTGCAGTACAATTTCAGAGAGATCCATACACTTGAACACAAGTAATTGTCTAGAAACTATAAAAATGCTACTTTTTGGCCCCTTTTTGGCCCCTTATTCCTAAATGTTTTGGGCAATTACCCCCAAACTCAATTCCAGCTTTCCCTTTGTGATATGGAACCTTTTAGTTCAATTTCAGAAAGATCCATACACTTACACACAAGTTAATATCATGAAACTAGAAAAATGCTTGTTTTTTGCCCCTTTTTTGGCCCCTAATTCCTAAAATTTTGAGGCAATTACCCCCAAAACCAATCCCAGCATTCCCTTTGTGATATGGAACCTTGTGGTACAATGTCAGAGAGATCCATACACTTACACACAAGTTATGTCTGGAAGTTACAAAAATGCTTATTTTTGGCCCCTTTTTCCTTAACTGTTGGTACCATAACCCCCAAAATCAATCCCAACCTTCCTTTTGTGGTATTGAACCTTATGGTAAAATTTCACGGAGATCCATTCACTTAAACTAAAGTTAGAGTGCGAAAACCAATGTGTCTTCGGACGACGCCAGACGACGACGACGCCGGACGACGACGACGCCAACGTCATACCAATATACGACCACAAAAATTTTTTTGCGGTCGTATAAAAAGATTTTGACTCGGTTGCTTTTTTATGGGTCGGTCGGGTTAGGACAAACCAACCTATTCTTTTTTATGGCCTCACTGAACCATGAAAATGAGGTCAAGGACAATGGGCATATACCAGACAGAAACTTCGTAACATAAGGTATCTGCATCCAGGTCTTCTACCTTCTGAAATATAAAGCTTTATACAAATAGTTTATGCTGCCGCCGGATAGTTATACCTATGTCTCGCATACTGCGACTTTCGGCACAGGCGAGACAAAAAACTAAGTCCATTTATCAGTAAAATATGGAAAAATGAAAACAATAATTTCAAAATTTTGCCCTGGATACTGTCTTTTGGTCATAAATAAGCTTCTATCCAAATTTCATAAAATTCCATGTAGGTTTGACAAAGTTATTGATGTCTAAAAAAACTTTAGCCACAGACTGAACCTAAATGTTGATGCTGTTGAGGTCGACTATGGAATCTAGGATTGCTATGTCTCTTTTTCGCGAAATAAATTTCACAGGCTCGACAAAAATGTTGAATTTTTGCATTAGTGGGGATTCTTTTAATTTATTATAGATAGCAGTGGTTAATATTTCCTTTCAAAGTTGTTTCATAAATATATGACTGAGAAACTTCAGGCTTCAAGAAGCCAGAATCACTGACCTTTAAAATACCTGTAGTTATAAAACACTCTGGGTATTTTCATAGTCTGAATATGTTTTTCTTAAAAATTATAAAAATATAAAAAACATTTTTGTTTATGTATATGGATTCAACTGTCAGAGTTCTGTGTCTAAAACTCCTAAATATTGATTTATTTAACTGCATAATTAAGATAAAATAACACAGAAAACTTAGTTTTATGACTTCTCTTCCACTGAAACTTTTCCTGGAATGGAGGTCACAACTTTTTTTGAAGACTTGAAATTAAAGGTTGACAGCTTTGACCACCATTGGCAAATTTTTACACTGAATGACCTAAGGTTATGTTCAGGTTAAAGTGTCGTATGACCGTATTACGTATCATTGTCATTTCATAGTATGCTTGCAAAAATTTAATGGCGAAACACCATACTGACATGCATGAATCTTATCGTGGTTATCACGGTCTCTCCATGATATTTGTGTTTTGAATAAGTTATTTTGGGTCAGATGTTTTGGTCATCTAGGTTGAATTTTATAATGACAGATCAAGACAGTGTAATTTGAAACTTCTGTAACAAAGGGGTTGATTGCTCCCTTGTTACAGGTTCATGATTTTATTTGTATATTCATTAGAAAATCATTTTCAGTCTTAAAAGACACCAATGATAGTAACAAGTTGTCGCAGTTAACAAATATCCAATACATTCACATGTTATCATTTAATCCAAGCCAAAGAATCACACAATGGGCAATGTAAGCATTACATAATGATACCTACTGCCATGACTGTATCTTAAAAATTTTATCAGGACTCAATTCAACAAAGTTTACAACCAATATGGTGTATAAATGATTGTCAGTTGTACATGTCAAACTATCAGGGTTCATCTGACCTTGACCACTTTTTCATGGTTTATGGGTCAATATTAGCTTTTGCCATCGCTTTGCATTAGTGGTCTGTCTGTCCGTTGTCGGTCTCTGTAAACTTTTCTTTAAAAATCTTGAACCAGTGTTTGCCCCAGAATTTTTAGATAGCAACAGGGTAAACAAGGAGACAAATCAGATATATGCGTCGCATCACAACACATAATACTCTATCCTTATCATAAGTTCTCATAGAGTTCCTTCTCTTTTTTATACCTTTTATCTATTTCCGTTTTTCTTTTCTCTTTTTTGTGTCTTAGGTTCACTAAATAATTTTTTCAATGTGTATTATGACAGTACTAGGTCCTTGAATAAAATAGTTCTATTCTCTATTTACTGTACAGTAATGTAGTGGAAGAGAATGTATTCTACTATCAGTCATTCCAGGGGTAGAAATAATATTTATATATATATATACAGGGATTGAAGTTAAAATTTTGGCATGGTAGCCCACAGCTTTAATTTTGTAGCCCACATATATAGTCCTATACAAGAAAAGCAGAAATTTAAGTAGCCCACACCAAATTTTAGGGGCCATTGGAGAGTGGGCCCCTGCTAATTTCAAACCCTGTATTATATATATATAATACCGATTAAGCATTAGAATTTTAAAATAGCAAAAAATAGAGGGAGTAACTCTTTATGAATTTTTATGAATTTTTTTTTCTGGTTTGCAATATGCTCATTATCAGTTTGGGTGAATGACAGAACCTTTTCAACAGTACCCAGGCTGTGACTGTCAATAGAAGTCACATTAGAGTCCAAATTTATTTTGGCTGATGTATAAATCTCATTTAATTAACTGCAAACTGGACGAAAACCAGTGGTCAAAAACGTTAATTTTGTTGTTGTTAGAGACATGCTATGTTGACCAGCTTGGAAAAGTTGCTTCATACAGAATAAAAATATACATAATTGTCAATTATTATTATTTAATGGACCAACAGCATTGTTTGTGTCCAAATCAAAATTTCTGATTACATCACTGGTCAGCACTTCAGTGATGAGTGAAGTCATAAAATTGTTGTCAGAAGTCATAAGTTATCTCCATACCAATCAATACACATAAGAATCAAGTTAATTAATTAAATCCAATTAGCAACAGGTAAACCTTATCAGGTAAATCTCTCAAGTGCTTGTTAAATTTTGCCTGGAATTGTATACCACATGGATAAGATTATACAAGTCTGATACAATTTAACCTATAAACCTGTAAATTTTGACTGTAAATTATAGCACCACGGAACAGGAATACAGGACCCTGCAAAGACTGATAGGACCAGGCTCCGAAATTAAAGGAACAACAGTAAAAATGGTTAGTACAACAATTTCCATCTGAAAATGTTGGAAAAAGCTGTCCACCTGTTTTGAAGTTATAGCCCCTGAAATGTTGATTTTTAATTTCAGGCATTTCCTTGCCATTGTTTCATAAAACTATAGAAGCTAAATTAAAATTGTAAAAAGCAAAAATGATCAGTATTTTAATCGTAAGATTTATTTGTCTGCTGTCCAGTATATAAAATTTAACAAGATAATACTCAAATTACAAAACTTACAGTCCATGAATAAACTGGGTTGTCCTCCATTGTTGAACAAGTCAACATTGTACAGCCACCCTCATTGTTCACTTTGGCCATTACACATGGATCTATAAAAATAATTCTGATCTAAATGACTTGACGATTTGATGGAAAACTCATGGGAAAAAAAACTATGCAAGATGTAATACCCTAATTAGTTACCCTCAAAAATCACTTTAGATTAGACTAAATAAAGGCATGCTGACAAAAATATTACAGAATGAGTAGTAATACTTAGTAGAGTAGGTGTCCTGATTTGGGTAAAGGTATCAAATATAACAACATCAGGAAGTAAGAAGTCTCTTTTAAATTGTTTTACAGCCTTTAATAGCTTACTATGGGTTTTGCTCATCATTGAAGGCCATACTGTGACCTATTGTTGTTAACATCCTTGTTGTTTGTTCATTGGTGTATAGTTGTTTCATAGGCAATCACAGGGTTTCCCCTGGGTCAATTTTCTTTTTCGCCACCTCTTTCACCAAAACAATATATTTTTCGCCACTTTCAAATTTTTTTGCCAACTAACATAAACATATTTTTAGTTTAAAATTTTCCTTCTTTCTAACAAATATAAATCAGTTTGTAACATTGTAATATAAAAATAAGAAGATGTTGTATGATTGCAAATGAGACAAATCTTCACAAGAGACCAAATGACATAAGTTACCAACTACAGGTCACCGTACAGCCTTCAAAAATGAGCAAAACCCATATACCGAATTTTGAAGTCCGCTATAAAAGCACAGGCACTTGTCTCTGAAAAAAAAAATCCTATATACCTTAATATAATATATCTGTTATATGAGGGTATATAGGATTTATTTTTTCAGAGACAAGTGCCTGTGTATAAAAGGCCCCAAAATGACAAATGTAAAACAATTCAACTGAGAAAACTAACTATATATTATAATTCTTAATATCTATTTTTTAATCTACATTGTAATGAATAAACACTCTAAAATAACAAACATTTAGTTTTTAAAAGATACTGCAAAATTGCAATATAGATCATGAAATCATAATTTTTTACTTCTGTCGGGGAACAGAGGATTCATCTATAATAGTTTATAAGATACTTCCGGACTAGTTGAAGGATAAAGACTTAAGTCAGAGATTTTTCTTACTTTGAATATATTTCTTCTTAACAATAGTTTTTTTTTCCGGACCATCATTATAAGAAAAGTTTGGACGTAAAACTATGCCTCAAACGCGTGCGTCGCTAAAACGATTGTAAATTACCCACTTCAAAACAATTACTTCTATCAAAAGTTATAGGTTAAATTGATTTTTCTTACTTTTGAACATTTTTTGTCATAACTACGTTTTTTTTCCAGACCATCGTTAAAAGAAAAAGAGGAGACGTAAAATATGTCAAACACGTGCGTTGTGAAGTACCTACTTCAAAACATTTATTTCAATCAAAGTTGTAAAAAAATCCTTTAAGTGACATGTGAGACCATTTAACCACACCATTTCATGAAACAATACAATCAACACCTTTATTAATTATAATCCTTTGTTGCCGATAGCTATAAAATGCAATCAGCTGATTATTGAATTTCTATTAAAATTGTAACAAGTTCAAGGTGAATTCCCAGTATTGTCTTATCAGGGCAAAAGTCAGCGTTACCCGAAAAAAGTAAACAATGGAGGAAGTCGAACCGTTATATTTCTTTCGCCAATAACGAATTTTAATCACCACAATTTTTATTTTTCGCTAAATGCGAAAATGGCGACTGCCAGCAGAAACCCTGCAATCATTCTACATCTCCTAGGTATTTTTATATTTTCTATGATCATTTCATTTTCTCTTATTTTCTGTACAGATGGTAAGGATATTTGGTGTCAAAAACTCATATACCTTGCTGCTCTTGGCATTTGCTTTATTTAGAGGGGAATAATAACATATAGCATTATCATGATTATTGGGTAATTCTATTTTTTTCTTATTTGTTTTCAATATTGCTATCTATTTAGTTTTTCTGTGAATTCAATATCCTCCTTTCAGAGAATATGTCAAAGTCTGAAGAATTTCTTCTCACATTAATAATAAAATTTGATCTTAATATTGATAATTCTTTGTTCAACATTTTAGTTAATAGTTTTTAATAAACAGCAGTGCCAGGAACTCATGATATGCCCTTATTGTGCATACTGAAATTGTCGCAAGAATACCATCATGAACATGGAATATTTAGAAGGCATTTAATCAGAAGCAAATAAAATGGCTCTGTAGAAATCTTGCTTGAGGATACCCTTAGGTGTATTATTATTGTGTCAACTATTACTGTTAAGAGTCCAATTCTCAAAATCAAAAGTGGTTCAACTTTCACCAATCCTAACATCAGTATTAAGTTTGTCATAATTTGATCTTAGCATACTTGTGCTAGTGCATGTTATTTAAAAAATGCCTTTTATTCATATGATGGTCAAATTCCCATAACTCTGGAATGACATATCAGAACTTTTTTTTTAAATTGAACAGTTAGTTGTGTTCACCAATTCCTAAACGATGTAAAGTTTCCAGTAAATCAATTGAAGCAAACTCAAGTTATAGTGCAATTAATATATATATAATGTAGGAATTTACTTAAATCTATCAATTTTACAGTCTTTTTGAATTGTTTCATATTTTTCCTGTCGGGGCCTTTTAAAGCCAACTATATGGTATGGGTTTTTCTCATTGTTGAAGGCTGTACAGTTCGTAACTTTGGAATTGATACGATTTCACACACAAAAAAAAATCGAAAGGGAGCTTTCTTCCTTCAATGCCAATGTTGTGTTGAAGTTATATGAAAATTGGTTCAAGCAAATTAAAGTTATCATACAAAGTGTTACCGGACGGACAGACGGATAGACAGACCATTGGTATATCTTAATGTCCTGTCTTCAACAGCTGTATAATAATTACTAGGTGCCAATTTTTGGTACAAGTAGTGTTTTTACCTTAATCTATTGTCATGATTGTGGACCTAATTTAATAAAATATGCATTAGATATTCATCCAGTAGCATAATATAGAATCAATTTTAGTTGTATCATAGCCAGGATACACACAAAGATACATTTCCATTATTTAATTGAAAAACGGCTCACCTCAAGGTCAGTTGACACAATAATATGCATCTCTATATCACACCTTGGGTAAACTGATTATTGCACTAAACTCAACTATATTCCTGCATACATTTCCCTATCATTTGGTAGTTTAAAATGCTGTAGATTTTTCAAACACCTGTGTAGTTTGAAAACTGTGCAAGGATACAGTTTCCACTTCTCCTAAGCACTGTCAAATACCTGATTTAGTGCCACTATAGACATGAAATTATGTAACATTATCAAAACAAGAATGTGTCCATAGTACACGGATGCCCCACTCGCACTATGATTTTCTATGTTCAGTGAACCGTGAAATTGGGGTCAAAACTCTAATTTGGCATTAAAATTAGAAAGATCATATCATAGGGAACATGTGTACTAAGTTTCAAGTTGATTGGACTTCAACTTCATCAAAAACTTTAACCTGAAGCTGGACAGACGGAAGGACGGACGGACCAACGAACGAAACGCAAAGACCAGAAAACATAATGCCCCTACTACTATCGTAGGTGGGGCATAATAATGCAAAACCAATACTGTATAACATGTATAATGCTCTCATACAAGGATCTATGTGATATAAAACATTTTAATAATCATATATATGTACTGCCATTGAATTATTGTCTTCCTATACTCCAATTCGCTATGGTGCAGTGACCTTAACTACAAGACCTCTCGTTTGAACTTCAGTCAAGAGCAAGGGAAATACATTGATGAAAGAATGTCAACAAACGTGCACTGGAAGGTAATATATAGAATGCCACAGTTTACACTCCATCTATTAAGGAGACAGAGTTCAACACTTCTTTTAAAAGTTTGTTTTATATTCTTATCAAATGATAAAGACAGGTATAACAATATTTCAGTGCTTTGTGGTGCATTGTTTAGCATAAACTGTTATTCATATGCAACAACGTTTTTTTTTCAATTATCAGGAAAATATGTTAAAGACTGAAAAAAAAAATTCACATAAGAAAGAATACACTGCTTCGCTGAGCGCAGCTGGATACGCCCGCAGAGGTCCAACCCTGAACAGTTGGGGCAAAAATGGACACAATATTCAAGCTTGATACAGGTCTGAATTTGGATTGAAATTGAATATTTGACATATTATAGGTTTCTGAATAAATGTAGTCAAAGAACTTGAAATTGGTTATATTAATTAAACCATATTCAATTAAAGATTTCTTGCTGTTGTGCAATACACTGTGCTGTTGCGCAATACTTAGTAAATCTGTTGTCAGACTATAAACAAATAAAGTTCAATTTCTTCTCAATGTCATATTTGAAATTTATGAAAATCAATAGGGAGATTACATCAATAGCTTTAAATAATTCACCAAAGTTTCATGCAAACTGCTAAAAGCATTTTTGAGTTATTGTCCAAAAACTGGAAAATCCCCCCTTTTTTAATGAATAAAACCCCATAGCTCAGAAATGTAAAATCTAAAATTTATAAAATTCTAAAGGGAGCTTACATCAACAGATATAAACAATTCAACAAAGTTTCATTAGAACTGCTGAAAGCATTTTTTAGTTATTGTCCCAAAACTGGAAAATCCCCCTTTTATGAATAAAACCCTGTAACTCATAAACATAAAATCTAAAATTTATAAAAATCAAATGGGAGCTCATGTCAATAGATATAAATAATTCACCAAAATTTTTTGCAAGTTGGTGAAAGCGGTAAATCTGAAATTTATAAAAAACGAAAGGGAGCTCACGTCAATAGATATAAACAATTCACAAAAGTTTCATGCATATTATTTAAAGTGTTTTTGAGTTAATGTCCGACATGTTGACAACGGACGGACAGACGGACAACGGTATACCATAATACGTCCCGTAAACAGGCGTGTAATAAAATGCTTCGCTGGGCGCAGCTTGATACGACCGCAGAGGTCGAACCCTGAACAGTTGGGGCAAGTATGGACACAACATTCAAGCTTGATACAGCTCTGAATTT